ACAGTGGGTGGAAAATCCCCAGGTCTGGTCATCTGAATGAGAGAGGCGTTCTTAACTGTGTGGCTGGGAGGATTCCAGGGAGAAGTGAGAAAAGAAAGAAAGGCCTTCTATTTCTTCCTTTGGCTTGGGTGGCAGTATGTGTGTGACAGTCACTGGGTAGAGAAAAGTGCCCCAGATAACCCCAGTCTGGATTCATCAGCATCAAAAAATCTGGGAACAGCTTCTGCCCACCAGCACTCGGCTCTCTGCACAAAAATACGTTGCTGTTCATGATGCTGACATAGTCAACTTCCAAGGACAGATTAGAAGAAATAGCCCACGAGGCAGGAAGCCTCGGATAAGAAAAACAAACAAACACAAGGAACCCTGATTCACAATTGCTAGCTTATTGGTGACAAATTCATTTTCTTTGATAGAACTTGCACTGAAATTATTAATGCTGGAGGAAAAAACAAAGGCCCTGGCCTTCGTTCATTCAGTCATTCAACAACTGTTGAATGAGCACCTGCTCAGTGCTGGTGCTGTAGCAGCTGCTGAGGTATACATATAAAGAAGATGCAGCTCTTATCTTCATGGAGCTCATACTACAGCCATGAGCTAGCACGCATTAGTGTGATCTAACATGCCTTAGAAGACACAGACCAATGGGTGGGCTGGGGACACAGTGTGCCCAGCAAAGCTCGCGGAGGGGACGTCATGTTTGAGCTCAATGCTAAAGGTGGCCCAGCGAGAGATTTTTTTTTTTTTTTTTTTTTTTTTTTTTTTTTGCGCAGTAGGAAATCACTAGTTAATAGATTACATATTGCCATCTTAGAAATAATTGTTCAAGTCACAGAATTAAAGTTTGTAGAGTGGACCTTCCAGCAATGATACTGCAAACAGTTCTGTTCAATGATCCATTAGAACTCTGTGATATCATTTTCTGAGAGATTTTTAAGCAGAGTGACAAGGTCAGATTTCACGTTAGAAGGAAAGGCTTGCATGGAGAAGAGGGTGTTAATTATTTACAGCGTGCCAAATAGAAATGTCCTTGGAGAGGTCTGCCATGTGAACTAGTTGCTTCTCTGATTCTCTGTCCCTGGCACATTTGCAAGTGAGGCAACAACCAAAAGTTTAGTCTGTAGTCCGGGATTCTGGGAGTCAAATGACGGTGGGGCTGAGGTCACGAGGGAGTCTTCTTGGCATTTTTTCCCTTTGATTTTACTGCAGTCCCACGATTACGGCTGTTGCCCTTGTGGTGTAATTGCCAGATCTCTGGAGGAAGAATTCTCTTGCGACATTGGCTGGCAGATCCTCTGGAAGCAGCACTTGACAAAGAGTGTGGGGCCCCTTCTTTCACATCTACAAAGTTACCCTAAATCCCCGGGACAGCAGAGGTGGCTGTGAGTGTGACGGCTGGATCCCGAGGTCCGTCAATGGTAGTAACCTCTTCCTCTGCAGCAGGGCTCCCCAGCCCTGGCACCAGTCATGGCTGGGGCCGGTAATCACGGTAAAGGGCTGCCCTGTGCATTCCTGGGCATCTACCCATCCGATGTGAGTAGCCTCTCCTGCTACTACCGAGCGGTGACAATCAAAGGTCTTATGGGGACGACTCGCTGCCAGCTGGAAGCTGTTCTAGAGGACACCTTCCCATTCTGCTTCTCTCCATTTCCACCAGTTCTCCTTTCTGTCTTAATGGATCTCTCGGGACCACTCCGCCCACTGGCTGACTCTGCTGAAGCTTGCATTCCCTGACATGCATCCTCGTTGGTCTTCCTTACTCTCTGGCCAGTTCTGTGTAGGTTCCTGACGCCTTTCATCCTCTTCCTGGCCTCTGGTAAGGCTTGGTTAATCTTTATGCTTTCTCTCTCTCATCCATTTCCAGGAAAACGCCTTGTACTTGCCAGATACTCTCAGATTTATCTCCATCCCAGATCGCTCGCTTAAGCCCCAGACTCATCTCTTTGTTCTATACATATCCCAGGCATCAAAAAATCTACTCATCTCGCTACAAAATCCAGGCCTCTTCTCATCTGCCCATGTCAGTAAACAGCGTCTCACTGCATCCTCATGTTGGTCCCAGCTCCTCTCTTGTCCCCACTGTCCCCAAGGGTCATTGTCCCCAGTCCATGACCAATGCCTGTCAAGCCTATCTTTGAAAACTAGCTGAAAAGGGGCTGGGGATTTAGCTCAGCGGCATAAGCACCTACCTTGCAAGCAGGCAGTCGTGGGTTCGATCCCCGGTACCGATAAAAAAAGAAAAAGAAAAAGACAAAAAAAAAAAAAAAAAAACTAGCTGAAAATTATCTGTTCTACTCTATGTCTGCTGTTGACTCCCTAGTTCAAGCTACCACATAACCTAACAAAACACAAATTAATTCCATGTTGATGGTCTCACGCCTTCGCTCTGCCACAGCAATCTTTGAAAAGCATAAGCCAAACCATACAACACGCCAGCTCCAAAGTCTTCAAAGGCATTGCACTGTTACTTGAATAAAATCTAAGTGTTTTAACCGGGCCCGTTCCTCCACCGCGCCATCCTTTGGTCCATGCTGCCATGACCGTGTTGGCTGTTTCCTGCACGTGACCCTGGGCCTCCTGTACGTGCCGCATCCTCTGTCAGAAATGTCACCCCCCACCTTCCTCAGGGTGCAGGGCTCAGCAGGGCTTAGCATCCTGTTCCTTCTTCCCCAAACACCAGCGTCTCCCTTACAATATTTTTAAATCCACTTTGCCCTAATTCAGTTTCTCCTTATACACTTCTGGCTTCCACTGGTGACTTTTTTTTTTTAAATTGGTACCAGAATTTGAACTCAGGACCGCCTGTTTGCAAGGCAGTTGCTTATGCCTCTGAGCTGAGTTAAATCCCCAGCCACTGGTGACTTTTAACTCCATGTGTACCCACTGGGTTATTTCTTTACTCTTTGCCTCCCCTGCTAGATTGGAAGTGCTAGATTTGAAGACAGTGAACCCGAGTGTCTCTTTGGTTCACTGCTATCTCTCTATTTTACTGTCACATGTGATACTTAGTGAGAGAACTCTAATAGGGTTTTGTGTGTGTGTGTTTCTTTTGGCTTTTTGAGACAAGGTTTCACTATGCAGTTCAGGCTGGGCTCGAACTCACTTTGTAGCCCAGGCTGACCTTGAACTCAGAGTGATCCTCCTGCCTCAGCCTCCTGAGTTTTGGGGTTACAGGCATGCATCACCATGCCTGGCTGGGAACTCTAAGTATTTATTGGATGAATGCCAACTCATTTCTCATTTCCTTGGTGCAGCTGCATCGAGGAAAGAACACTGAATGATCCAGAGAGTGAGTTTTGGACATATCCATGAATAACTCCATGAAGCATGACAAGGGTGCTCCACGGATCTGCGATCATCCAAAGAGACTTCCTAGAGCACAAGGCAATGGCTCACATGTTCACTGACCAGGTGATTTCTTTCACTATTCCTTATTTGTCCCCAAGCTTTCCACTGCATTAGGAAGGTGCTCCCTGAGGGCCACACCAAAGCAACCCCAGACGAAGTGCTGAAATTAATTCCATTTTCTGGCAACAATGCCTTTCTGGAAGGCCCCAGAGTGGCCAGGGAGGCAGGATGTTCTGCAAGTTCTCAGTGCCCTTTCTCAAGAAGCCACAGACATGATGGGCAACCACTTCACCTGCATGTCCTCAAAGCCCCATTAAGTCTCGGTGGCCTTGGTATGAGACCGTACAGGAAGGCTTGTTTGAGCCTTCTTGTCAGCAGGCCCACAGTTACGTGGAGAGCATTTAACTCTGATTTTCTTAAAACGCACCGTTGTGGTTGGCTGCCCCGTGTAGTATAAGTTAAGGACATCAACATGCTCAACCTTTGGGGCCACGTGTGACACACAGTGATTCACATCAGCCTCTCCCCGGCCCATTAAGCGGCAGCTGCTGAACGGCTGGAACTGCACTCAAGCAGCTGCACATCCTCTGAGATCAGGTAAGACTTTTGAATATCCGAACAGATCTCAAAAAGTGGAGGAGAGAAAACCAAAACGTGGAAGAAAAACATCAAAACAGATCCACAGCGGAGCCCAATCTGTGTGCGAGCCAGTGGAATTCACTTTAACAGGTTTACTTATTACGTCTTCCATCAACCTTAATGAAGCTGAGAAGTTTCAAGGTCCACGTGTTACAGCTCAAGGACAAGTGTGGGGCCCTGGCTCCAAGCATATTATGATTGGCTGCGTGTTACTAAACAACAAAAATAGCCTTACATCTGTTGTCATTGCAGGGCTGGGACATTACTTACAAGAGGGTCACTCGAGTTCCACCAGCAGCCACTAGTAAAATACTAATAATATAGAGATGGTGACTTGCACTATCAGAAAAATAAAAAGAGAACCAAGGCAAAAGGCAGCTTCTGGTGAGGTGGAAACTAGAGGCAAAGATACTCTTTGAAACATTAAATTCTCAGCCAGGAAGCAAAAAAGAAGCCCTCATAAAGGTATTTGTTATTTTGGGAAAAGTTCTCAGTCAATAGGAGCCATCAAAGTTTTGAGGCTCAATTTTGGCAGGGCCAGGGCTGGGGATCAGAGCCAGGGCTTTGCACATACGAGGTAAGAGCTCTACCGCTGAGCAACACCCACTCGCCAGCATTTTCGTTGTTATAAACCAAAGATATTAATAAAATGCAGAGCCTGCCCTCACAGAATGCAGCGTTAGGGAAGCTGGGCTGCTGTGGCTCAGAGAAGGCAGCATGTTGGGTGGCTGAGCTCTGTGAATAGAGCTGTTGCACACAATGATGGCAGAGTCAGGCAGACAGGACGAGTAAATGGACAGTAACTGCAGGCAGGGCCGGTGACGAGCTCTGAGGAGCAGGGACTGAATTTTGAGACCCATATTTAAGAACCTAGCAAGACGTGAAACCAAATTCAATCAGCACAAGGACACAAGGACCCCAGGATGGAGTCACTTAAAAAGTATTTGTTGAATGAATGAATGAATGATTGCACGCACGAATGACTCTCAATGTGTCATCCACCTACTGCTTACCTCAGATTCTTTGTAGTAGCGTTCTGGGATTTCATCACAGGCGATATCAATAAAGCATACTTCTCTCTCCAAGTCTTTGGCTTCATTGTCAAAAATCTGAAAGGGCAGAGCAACATATCAAAGGTTAGAGATGCCAGCTGAAATCTCCAAGGTGCCCGTGGGTGGATACCACAGCGCCTGAGGCAGAGTCACCCCCCACGGTGCCTCTTCACACGGCTCAGTGCCCCCGGCGTGTGCTTTCACCTGCCTCGGGCTGTGCAAGGATCATGAAAGGGTTTTATTCATCACGTAGGTTTTGTCACATCAGAGGCAGGTGTAGCATCCATCACTGCTTGGTGAGGGTAGAAGAAAAAGGGCTGTTTTTAGAAGTTCACAAGTAAGGAAATAAATCTCTTCCAAAAACCTCTTCTAAAACTGAAATATGCTGACTTCTGGCAGCTAATCTACACAGGGAGAATGAAGACGGTGGAAAGGCTTTGCTCAGGTTTGAGACAAAAAGCAATGATATAGCTCACGATTTGGAGAAGAATAATTGTTTATTAAAATTTATTTAATCACAAAGTTTTCTATATCTTTACAAAAACAGTAATAAGCATATGCTTATTCGAAAAAAATGCAGATGGGCAAAAAGAAAAAAGAGAGAAACCACAATTCTATTGCCTAGGAATAAACACGTGTATGTTTCTCGATCATTTAAGAGTGTGATTTAGTGGTATAAGCACCTGCCTTGCAAGCAGGCGGTCATAAGTTCGATCCCCGGTACCGATAAAAAAAAAAAAAAAGTGTGATTTAGCCAGGTGTGGTGGCTCACTCCTGTAATCCCAGCACTTGGGAGGCTGAGGTGGGAAGGATCGTTGCAAGTTCGAGACCAGCCTGGGCTACAAAATGAGCTTAAGGCCAACCTGAACTGCATAGTGAGACCCTGTCTCAGAAAAGAGAAAAAAAAAGTATGATTTCCTTGGTGCATCTGTAGAGGTAACAGGTATCATGCTAGGCTAAATTCTGCTGGTGAGAATGTCCATTAATTGCCACTCCTCCAAAAAAGATAATCAAAAACACATAAATTTTAGTGCAAAGCTTAAGTCCCTCTTGCTTTTGCTATTGTCATGTTTTGGTCCAAAGGGGTGAACATCCTTTGGAAGCACCATGAACAGACTAGGTTTGGAATCCATTGCATGCTTGGAGGACTCTTAGCTGTACACCTCCCTCACTGCTGAGTTAGTTCCTGCAGAGAATCGTAAGTTAAGACTAATTGCATCAGACTTTGCAGAACAGGATGGTTGATGCCTAAGAACATTGTCTTGACTCAAATTTGGTGCCTATTAATAACATGATCTCCCACAAGACAGCACCTGAAGGCCTCCTTGCCTGCTACATGCTTCTCAGCTGAAAAATATTAGTCCTATCCAAATGCTTTCTGCGTGTATGTGTGTGTGGGTAACTATCCTCTGACTCTGCTCTTTGCTGTATTGCCTATTTTCCTCTCAAGTATGTGGAGGCTCCTTGGACACATCTCTTCAGCTTTCCCCGGATACACAGACTTCACAGGCTGACCTGAGCTGCCCAGACCAATTCCCTTAAAGGTAGAGAAAGATTGGTTCTTAGATCAGCCTCAATTCCTTCCACTGGCACCTGAAGCCAGGTGCCTGGGACACTGGGAGGGGCAGGCGGATCGCCTGGAAGTGAAATGGACGGGAGACAAATATTAAGTTCCAGTGTGAGTGCAGAAATAAGTTGCGAGGTGAAATACTGGGTCTCTGTGTGAGTTAGGGTCAGCGTTAGTCTCAGTCTCTTTTATGTGTCCACCCAGAGAAGAGATGTGTACATTAGGAAGGCAAAACAAAACACCTAACAGGGGAATGAGCTTCTGGAGAGTAAATGACGAAGAAGTTAAAGAGATTTGACATTTATTAGTAAAATCTATGGGATTCAAAGAAAGGGAAGTAAGCAGATATTAAGGGAGCTACTGACAAGTCATGTGACTTTGCCTAATTTAATTTGATCCTTCTCCCCCGCCACCGTCACCGCCAGTACTGGGGATTAAGCTCAGAGCTTCATGCGTGCACTCTGCCACTGAGCTACACACCCAGCCCTTTTTATTATTTTGTATTTTGAGCCAAGGTCTCATTAAATTGAGCACGTTGGTCTTGAACTCACCATCTTCCTGCCTCAGCCTCTCAGGTAGCTAAGATTATCAACTGGACCAGTTATCTTGTTACTGCCTTTCAGCTCCAAATCCCTGCTTAAGCCTTTGCCCTGTTACAAATGACAGGACCCTGCAACCCTTTCTCCTGTACAGCATGCACCACCCAAAGCCTGGTCAGTAGAGGGTGCTGGAGGGACACTCAGGATGTAGAGGACGGCTCTTCCAGGTCAGGATCTTGGAGGCTGTGGAGTCTGGGGGTGGGGCTATGCGGCGGGGCCAAGTTTCAGCTGCGCGCCTAGAGGGCAGGGCTGCTCAGTGACCTTGCAGTCCTGGCCTGTGGCCAGGAACCCCTGCCCTATGGGCCTGCTGATGCAGGCACTGTGCACCTCAGGCCAGGTGTGGCAGGGTGCCGAGCTTCCTCTACACTCCTGGCTGCCACCTTCATCTGGCCCATGCCCCACAAATCTTTCTGCTGCCTGGTGACTGAACCAGTTATGAACGGCAGCTTGGCAACTTCTCCACCTTCTCCAGTGATGAAACCCCAGCCACGGAGGAGAGCCCCTCCTAAGTTTGTCTGGCCCTGACTAATACACTCTTTGCAGGCAAGTGTTGCCCTAGGCTTTGAGGACTACAGAAATAGAAAGGACTAAGGTTTTGCCTATAAAAGTTACCATTTAGTGGGAAAGACAGTAGGAGCTGGTATCAAAAAGTAATGCAGAATAAAGTATGCTACAAAAATGATGAAAAGAAAAGACCATGTATATCTGGGGAGAGAAGCTATGAATTTTGACTCAACAATATTATGGGATTATATTATCATTTCCAGTCTTCAGATGAGAAAACCAAAGCTTAATGAGCCAGGAACCTCACAGAGCTCAGAGAGTCTTTGGTAGAGAGGCTGGGGCTGGTGAGCAAAGCTTCAGGTCCACCACTAGGCTCCTCCTGGAATAAAAGGCTGCTTCTTGACCTCCAACTGAGAAGATAAATATCAGCCAAAAGTGGCTCCTCCTCCTTTCTAGGAAGAAGAAATCACAACCTTGCTCTCCCCCTTCCCCTCCCCCTCCTCCTTATAAAATGTTTGTCTTCACTGCCATCACTGAGAATGACCCTGGGATTGGGATTCTTTTTTTTTTTTTGTCTTTTTCATTTTTATCGGTACCGGGGATCGAACTCACGACCGCCTGTTTGCAAGGCAGGTGCTTATGCCGCTGAGCTAAACCTCCAGCCCAGAATTGGGATTCTTCTGCTTCTTTGTGCAACAGCTGAGACTGCAGCAGATTCCTTCCAGGTGTAACTTCATACAGCTTTTGTCTCCTTCATGAATGCGATGTTTGACTTGCGGTAAAGTCTGTGAAATGCCAAGCATGGGAAAGTTTGCATTACCTCAATGCAAACATTTCAGGGCAGGATTTCCACGACCTGAACAAAGCCTCAAAAAGTCACTGAGGACCCAACATCTTCTTTAAGCATAAAATGACAAAGAATCTAAGTTCCCAGTAAATAATCTCCCAGTGATTTGTAAGGAGCTGCCCAATAAGTGGTAAGGCACGAGCTTCAGGTTTCTGTAGAGGAATCTGCAGCAGATGGCTTGCTTGTAGAATGAGCTTTGTTTCTTTTCCTACGCCTGAATTCCCTTTGCTTGGTATAAGCACTTTAATTCCTCATAACTTTCATTACAGTGCTCAACAGAGAGTGGGACTCTCCCACTGTGGGCGGACGGGTCCTAATGCTGGAAGTCAGCTGAGGCTTGAATTTACTTAAATTCTCTGAGTAACCTTGATCGAGTCTCTGCATCATTTTGATCCTTCTAAAATAAAAAAGCTTAATCTGGGAGGATGGGATTCAGGGAGCTTTTTGGAAGATCCTGGAACATACAAATTTGGGCAGATGCGTTTTTATGGAGCACGGATTCAACTACTGTTGTCTGATCACCAGAGAACTCTGGGCCTAAAAACTCTGCCGCTTCACGGTCTTTTTTGCTTTGTGGAAGAGAACTTATTTTCTTGAGATGGGACTTGAGTCTGGCAGTTCACTGAGGTGCTTTTCCCATGTCACCTGTAGTAATGTTCTAGTCTCTGTATACTTGTCATAGGTATTGTATTAGTCTATCTTTGTTACTATAACAAAATGCCCAAGGCAGGATTAGTGGTTGGTTGACAGTGTCAACTTGAGACATTTAGAAGCTTAACTAAATCAGCTTAGCAGTTCTACACCCTAGGGTGTAAGAAGACCCATCCTAAGGTGGCTGATCTCTGGATGGTATAAAAGGTAAGGAAGAAGAATGGATGAGGTTCTGTTTTTTGGAGGAGCTCCAGTCTTTGCCTTTGGCTTGGATGTCATCTCCTGGTTTCTAGTGCAGACTCTGGCTTTTGCCTGGGATCCCTCAGCCTTTTGACGTAGACTCTTCAGCCTTCTGTTGCAGACCCATCGGCCTGCTGGTGCAGACTTGCACAGGACACTGAAGTGAACTGCAGACCTTGGAATAATCCTTTGCCCTCTGGCGTACAGATACCCTCTGCACGCTGCCTCATCCGACTCTGTGGCTGACCATTGTGAGCCAACCTAGCTATTTCTTATACATTTGTGTATCACATGTTATATCTGTTTTCTCTAGTAAGCCCCTGACTAACACAGCAGGCTAACTACAATGACAAGAGCATTGTTTTATTCACAGTTGTGGACATTCAAGGGCATTATACTGGCATCAGCTTGGCTCTGGTGAGGATTTTGTAATAGATGACAGGAGTACATGTGAAAAGGTCACATCACCCACAACACCAAACAAGGAGGCGGAGCTAGCGTGAACTAGAGAGAGAGAGAGACTGAGAGACTTTGGGTCCCACACTCCCTTTGGGGACATGACCCCACGTGACTCCCTGACTCAACATCGTAACCTTGGGGACAAAGCTTCCAAAAGTATGAACTCTTGAGGAACACACCGAATCCATAA